GGCGCCTTCGTGTGTATGAGTGGCCTTGTCCTGCGATGGCTGGCGTTCGTCACAGCGCGGCGGCACTTCACCCATCAGGTGGCAACTGAGAGGGTAGAGGGGCATGTGCTGGTCACTCACGGCGTGTACGGATGGTGCCGACACCCCGCCTACCTGGGGTGGTTCATGTGGAGCGCCGGTGCGCCAATGAAAAATGTGCGTTTCTTCTCGAGCGTCTGACGTCCATTTCCGTTTGTCTGTGTGTGTCATGTGTCAGGCAGTCAGTTGATGCTGCTCAACGGCGGGTGCTTTGTGGTGTTCACAATAGTGGCGTGGCGCTTCTTCCGTGACCGAATTCGGAATGAGGAGCGAAGCCTTCGGGCCTTCTTTGGGCAGCAGTACATCGACTACGCCAGCAAAGTGCCAATCAGGTGAGAGCGGGGGAGACATTCAGCGGCGGAAGACGTGATTATGCAGCCATCATATGTGCGTGTCAGGATAGCGCTGCTGGATGCGGTTATTGCACGAGAGCTGTCGCCGGTGAGTGGCGTAGGAAAGACACAATGAGGTCGATAGAGGGAGTACGTAGACATGTGACATGTACAAAAGTGCCTGAAAAGGCTGGTGGGAGAGACAGGCCATCTAGCACGTCCTCCGAAACCCCAGCCGTGTTTACGCACTGGCCAGAATTCTCGCCGCGACGAGACGGCCTTCTTCCTTTTCCACATTTTTTGGCATCGTATGAATCCATCCCCTCGCTCGTCTTTGCACCTGCTGCCGCCGTTGCTGGCATGCTGTTCGAGAGAGAGAAGGCGGACTCGATCGACAGGCACCAGGCCCATTCAACGAGGATAATGCGGCCACGGCTCGACACACAGGCTCAGCTTGTGAGCGCTGTAATCAAGAAGAGTTCACGGCTGCCGCCGATGCTCACTCCTTTTGTGTCATCCATGTGCAGCACACACCAGCGCGCCTGCTGCGGCAGAGGAGCGCCGCACGAGCATGGACAGCGTCTGTGGAGCCGGGTCGTCTGGGTTGAAATGGTGGTTTTCCCACTCGCTGTTGGACTTGCGGATGATGAAGGGCAAGGGGGACCCATTGGCCAGCGGTTCTCCTCGGATTCAATTTGACCGTCTGTCCGAGTTGAAGAATTCAAGCCGTCCGAATATGAGCAGGGAGGGACAGAATGCCTGCACAAGGACCATTGAAGATGGTATCTTGTATCTTGTATTGTGCAGATGGCCGACCAGGGAGGGGAGGACGTACTCACAGGAAAGCAGCTGCATGCCGCGGCCACGGCGATGCTGGCGCCCCTGCCGAGGACTCAGGCCGTCAAAGCAGCACTACAGGTGAGTGAGCTGACCGACGCACGCAACCGATTCCGTCATCATGATGCACTGCACGCGTGTGTGTCTGTGTGTGCTGTGCGTGTGACGCTCCTCTAGGCCGAGGACATCTGCATTCGATGGCATCCGCAACTCACGGCGTTCGTGCCGCAGCTACTGACGCCCCAAAAGCAGCTGCACTACGTGTGACCCATCAGACCGCACCACCACACCATCACCGGTCAGACAGACGGCACACGTGCAGAAGAGCGACGCCTCGTGTCATTCATTCATGTAGGCATACATAGATGTGCTCTGTGTGTGCATATAAGTGCAGGGCTCGTCGGCGCGCTCATGGACGCCATCGGAGTGCGCAACAAACTGGCAACGGAGATGGGGGTGCGTGGACGAACGAACAGAGCACACGCCTGTATGTTTTGTGTGACTGACCATGTGCCGTGCCACTTGTCTGTCTTTGTGTGCATCCGACCCCCACACGGCCGAGCGAGTGGGAGCCGCCATCAGCAACAGGCAGGCGGATGGATGGATGGCTGGCTAGATGGATGGATGGATGGATGTTTGGACATCGATCACATCCTGTGTGTGTGCTGTGCAGCCGCAGCCTCAAGAGGACCACGCAGAACCGTGCGGAGAGGGCGCTGCTGCTGACCTCTATGCCGAAAGGCTGCTGGCCAACCTGCGCACACAGATGAAAGACGGCAGGTGGGTAGGTACTGTATGTCTTTGATTTCATCCACAGCACACCACACGCACTTGAGTGTGTGTGTGCGTGTGTTCGCCATGCAGCGCCGTATGAGTTGAGTTGGGACAAGAAGGGCAAGGGCTTCACGGCAAGCCTACACACGGGCGCCGAGACTTTCTTGTTGACCGCCATCTGCTCACCACCGGACATGACGGCCGTCAACATCAGAACAGCGCTAACGTAAGCACACGCCGAGTAGGTACTCCTAGTACATCTGTGTGTGTGTGTGGATTGTTACAGAAACGCCATATGGGAGGCCAACCAACTCATGCAGCAGCTCCTTAAGACCATCACTCCAGACAAAGTGGACCAGGTGCGTGCGTGGGTATTTGGCGGCCGAAGCAACAGAGAAATTGCTGTTTCTGTCTTGTCAGTGGATCCATCGAGAACCGGCCATGGTCCTTGGACCGCGGTGCGATTTCGTGCATGTTCATTGGGATCCTGTTTGTCGGCTCGGCTCGCACGTTTGGCGGCGCAAGCAGCACACACGACGTAAGGGAAGGAAGGAGCTCAGCAAAGAAAGAGCACTCCGCCGATGTTCTCGGTCTCTGTGTGTGCGGTGTGTGCGGTGTGTGTGGTGTGTGTGGTGTGTGTGGTGTGTGTGGTGTGTGTGTGTGCGACAGGCTGGAGCGGACATCTTCTTCTATCGCTATGTCAAGCATTACGTCTATGTGGCCGTCCTTGTCTGCGTTGGAATACTTGTTGAGACAAAGAAGAAGCAGAATCTTCAGAAGCTTCGGTCCGAACGGACAAGCACAAAGAGATGCCGCCTTTCTGTCCATGTGTCTGTGTCTGTGTCTGTGTCTGTCTGTCTGTCTGTCGGCGTGCTTCCCAGAGAAGTCGCACAGACGAAGAAGGCGGTGCTGTTTTTGGGAGAACGGCGAACTCCTGAGTACTTCTGCCGTGTGTTAGGTATTGAGCAGATAGATGCATGGATGGATGTTTTTTGGTGTCACCCAGGCGCCCTGTACGGCGTATCTGATGGCCTGTGGGGATCTCAGCTCGGATTGGAAATCGGGCAGTAAGATGAAGGGGCGCAGACACCCCTGCGCTGATCGCTGGTCTACTGTGCGCATCGGCGCCAAGACCTCATCGACCAACATGTACTCGCCACCCGATCTGACGGCCATCAACATCAAGATCGCTCTCAAGTGAGCACACTCGCCACGTGGGAGCATTCCAGGTGCATATGTGTGTGTGTGCTGTTGCAGGAATGTCATCTGGTATGCAGTGGTATGAACCTGACCGACGGCGTCAACAAGGGCGACACCGCCGACAAACGACGGCAGCAGCGGGGCGGTGGCCGCCTCCCACTGGCCGCCGTGGGAGGCGACCCCACCAACAATCAGACGGCCACGACCGCAGGAAAGGAAGTCATTCCGACCTTTTCTGCCTTTTAATTGTTTCTTTGTGGCCACCGGAGGTTACAGGGCATCCTCCTTGCTGTTTGTGTGAGTATCTGAGCACTTCTTTCTCTGTCTGTCAGGGATCATAAAGTTCCACGAAAGCAAGTACCTCATTGGATGGGCCGTGGGATTGCTTGTGCTCGGTACGGACGAGTAAATGAGTGTTTGACACACTCACGCATGTGGATGTCATGTGACTGGCTGGCTGACTGACTGGCTGGGTACAGGTATCATCTCCATCGCCATTGCCTCCCTCCTGATTGCCTTCGACCTGGCGCAGCTGTACCAGATTACGTATGAGATCGAACATGCCCACGAGTCTCATATGTTTGTTCGGACATGTTTTGCATTCCACCTGTCTCTTTGGCGCTATGCACACCCCTGCTGATCGCTGGTCGATGTGTGCAGGCCAATGGCTAATCTCCGGCACGACTTCGCCGGCAGTCAAGGCAGAAGAGGAAGAGAAGATCGGCGGGGATCTCGATAATATGCATGGGGCGGCAAACGTATGCCGCTGAATGTTCTGCATTGCTACTGGCCACTGAAGGGGAGAGAGAGGGAGGAGATCTAGAGTGAGAAAAGGTAGCAGCACCTTCGGTGCATCGGTGCCTACATTTTATATCGTGATGTCTCTTCGCTCGTTTGATTGCGTGCCAGCCATATTTGACAGACTGTCGGTGTCTGCAGCCGTGGTCTCTGTCATGGACAGAACCATGCATGGGCTAAGGGACCGTCGTGTAGACAGACATGCAAACGACTGCCTTCCCCCCCCCCCTCAACACACAGGCGGCGCTCAAACACATTTGTGCACCGTCGTGTAACATCAAACGACTGACTGCCTTGCCCCTTCCGTCACACACAACCGGCGCTTAAACACACCAATCAGATGCACAAAATACTCCCGGCCCCATGTGTTATCCAACCCACCCCCACACACACCTAGACCTAGACGGCTGTGCGTGTCCTCAAGCCATCCGCCTTCCCTCCGCTCCCTTGCTCAGCAAGACACACACACACACACACAGGGACGCACTCGCTACCAGATTGAACGCATGTATGTCTTCTTTCTGCGCACCCACCGAACGAATCGATCCATCAGTCGAGTCTGTTGCCGAAGATGAGCTGAATGTCGTTGGCACGCATCACGCGACGCACCACGGCAACCGTCCGGGGGAACCTCGTCGCCGCTCGCGAGCCGTCCTGCCGCGTCTCGGTCGTGCGGAGGGCCACGTAGGCGTTGTAGTTGATGCAGCGGTAGACCTCCAAGTAGGCCGCGAAGCCGTCCTGGACCTCTGGCCCGTCGGCGTGCAGGCAGATGATGCGCAGGAGCTCGGTTTGGCGACAGATCGTCTGAGTGGCGACGGTCTGTCTGCCGAGCACCGGAGGCCGCCATGTGGCGAGTGTGTCGAGGCGACGGAAGAGGGCGGCGTTGGGGCCCGGGAAGGCCATCTTCATGAAGGCCGTACGCACCGCAGTGGGCGTCTGGGGGTGCGGCGAAAACCTGCTCGCATTGAGCCCGCACACAGGCAGAGAGGGGGGAGAGATTAACAGAGAGAGAGACGACACACAAGACGGTCAATGGTCTGTCTGTCTGACTCACCTGAGGCTGACGGCGTCCCTGAACGACGCAAACGAGTAGCCAAGAACTGCACACGCACCAAGCACGCAGGCAGCGCGCACACACAAAGGCCAGATGTGTTTCCATTCAGTTTCCCCCTCCTGTGTGCCCACGAGCAGCTCACTATCACAGACGGGATCCTTGCGATCGTATGAGTTGCGGAATGGACAGCCATTGCGGATGGCGCTTGGTGCGCGATAGGCCCTCATGTGGCAGCTGCCCAGCCAGCCGTACCCCTCCCTGTCGACAGAATGCAGCGCCATGTCGTTGCGGGCGCCCTCATACACCAGCCGGTGCCCGAAGAGAAGATACTGACCTGCACACACACACAACACACAGGTCGAGTGCAGGCGGACAGTTCCACTGCATATATATGGAATGTGCGTACCCATGCTCTGCGGCTGTCGATGGAGCTCCTTCTTGCTCTTGACCTTGTGCACGTCTGCGGGCCGCAGCATGAGGGGCAGCGAATCCGTCAACACGCCACAGTGGTGCGCCAGGCTGAACACACACACGCGCGGGCATGCCCCAGACCTGCACACACGTCTGTCCTGTTAAGACTGACCGGATGCGCCAGACCCACTCGGACCAGTCGCCCAGGGCCTCGAGGATATACATGAGCCCCAGCAGATAGGCAATGTAGTGAATGACAAGGCCCCCCTCCTGCTGCGGATCTCCATCCTCCTGCAAGCGGAAGATGCTCGTCAGCCCCTTGTCGTTGAGGAATCGTTGAATGCGGCGCTGCAGGAAGCTCTCGCTGATAAGGCCGCGGCCATGGCTGCACGTCGGGCGGTACGATGCGCAGTCTGCTGCCGACATGAAGCCGCCGACGGTGTTTTGCAGCTCGAGAGGCAGCCGCCTCACGCCATTCTCCACCCGAGGCCCAGCACCGGCCGCTGACGAGCCAGACTTCCCGCCGAGCCACCCAAACATACTGGATGAGGAGGACTTCCACGCCGCACAAAACTCTCTCACCGATAAGCTCGCAGGCCGATCGGATGCTGCTCTTTTCCCAGATTTCGGCTGTTTTGAAGTGGTCAGGCATCATTTGACACCAGCTTGCATCGTTTGATCCATCAGCAACAACGTTTGAAGCGTTTCGATCAACTTCGGAAGTGGCAGCGCTGATCTGAGTGATTTCGCTGCACTGATGGCCTCGCAGAGGCTGGCCCGCAGTCTACTGCCCGCATCTCGTCGCCTCAGACCTCTCCGCTGGCCGTCAGACGTCCCAACGTCAGCCGCTGCCTGCATCTCTCCCTCTGCAGCGCCCCTTCCCTCCCTCCTCCTTACGCACAGGACTATTGCTGCGGAGTGCTGGCGCGTCAGGCCTGCTTTATGGACCCCAGCAGGTCAGCATCGGTGTCTATCAAGGTATCGGCCCCTCCTCGAGGAGAGGCGGATAGAGCTGTCTGGCAGATGGGAGAGGGCTGGTGGCGGGGACAGCAAGGCCAGCGGTGCGGTGGACAAGCGGACGACGTGGCAGGGCAACCTCGACATCCTTAAGTCACTGGCGACCTTCCTATGGCCGAGTGACACGTGAGTGAGATGGACGAATGACATGTGCCGTTTCTGAGCCATGCTGGCTGCTGCTTCTGCTGCTGCTGCAATTGCAGGTCACATCGCGTGCGAGTGGTTGCGTCGGTGGGTTGCTTGATACTGGGCAAGCTGGCGACCATCCAGGCGCCCCTGCTGCTGGGCAAGCTGGTGGACCATGTGGCGTCAACGCCGTCGATCGAGATGATTCCCATCGGTGGGTGCAGTGCAGTGCAGGTCGATTCGTGGGTGCTGGTGGCTTACTGTCCTGTGGCTCAATGGTATGGTGTCCGTAGTTTTCTTGGTGTCATATGCCTTGGCGCGCATCGGAGCATCGGGATTCTCAGAGCTCAGGAGCGCCATATTTGCAAGGGTCAGTGGGAGAGAGAGGGAGGGAGGGAGGGAGGGAGGGAGAGATGGAGGGAGGAACACCTCAGACGACGGCTCACGTGCACGATTCCTGTGTCTGTGCAGGTCTCTCAAGTGGCGTGTCGGCATATCGCCTGCGACGCTTTCCGCCATCTGCATTCGCTCGGTCAGCAGAAGCAGACAGAGGGCACTGCAAATGGTCATTGCTTGCCTGTATACGTACGTGTTCAGATTTGGACTATCTGTTGACGGCCAAATCGGGCGAGCTGAGCACCATCATATCGAGGTCTGCTCTGGTGGAAGATGGGCAGGCCAGAAAGCCATATCGACGACACCGTGGTTGATCGTCCGTGGTGATCCGTGTTGGTGTGTTGTGTCAGGGGAGTGCGGTCGACGACGTCCATCCTGAACATGATGCTGTTCCAGGTGGTGCCCACCATCTTTGAGTTCTCCCTCGTACTGTACGTCCTCACCACCAGCGTGGGACCCCTGACAGCTGGTATGTATGTATGCGGTGCCCACACATACACACACAGACACATACACACACATTGCTGCCTGGTGCCTGCAGCGATTACGGTGGGCACGATGGCGTCCTACATTGGGTTCACGACCATAGTTACGGGGTGGAGGACAGAGATCAGAAAGAAAATGAACCAGGTGACGCGCCGCCCACCCACCCAAGCACCCTCACTCACCCTCTCTCTCTCTCTCTCTCTCGCTCTCTCTCTCTGTGTGTGTGTGTGTGTGTGTGTTGTGTAGGCCGAGCAAGAGGGCAATGGTCTGTTGATGGATTCGCTCATCAACGCCGAGGCGGTTCGGCTGTTCACCAACGAGCAGTTCGAGTTGGAGAGATACAACAAGACACAAAAGAAATACGAAGACGAAAACGTCAAGGTACCCATCCCATCTGCCCGCCCATCCCATCCGTCGTGTCATGGGCACGCTGTATAAAACCACACCCTCCGTGTGTGCGTATCGTCAGGTGTTGGAGTCGCTGGCTTTCCTGAACTTCGGTCAGCAGCTCATCTTCAGCGCGGGCCTGCTGGCCTGCATGTGCCTCACCGCTTCACAGGTGGTCGCTGGAGCCTGCCCCGTCGGTGAGTCGGTCCTCGCACCCTCTCCCCTGGCACACACGAACGGCAGGTGGCTCCCTCTCTCCCTTTCTCTACCTTGTCAGGTCACCTGGTGCTGGTGAATTCGCTGTTGTTCCAGCTGGCGATTCCTCTTAATTTCATCGGGACGGTCTACCGCGAGACGAGGCTCAACCTCATCGACATGTGGAAGGTGCGACGGGCACTCAACACACACATCACATCACACGACGGCATACTCATGTGTCTGCCTCTCTATCTCTTTCAGCTTCACGAGCTTCTCAGGCGGAAGCCGAAAGCTGCGGACATTCCAAATGCGAAAGACTACGTGCCGGGGTCAGGAAGGAATCGCTAAGCGTTAAATATTCGTTAGTGCGTCTGTCTGTCTGTCTGCCTACAGGTCGGGTGTGATCGCCTTTGAGAACGTGTCTTTCGACTACAAGCCCGGCAAGAACTTGACTGTGCCCGTATTCTCCGGTAGCACAGCGCACAACACTCACACACGCCCCCACACAGGTGCATATCTCTCTGTGTGTGGACACGTGTGTGTGTGTGTGTGTGTGTGCAGACATATCGTTCACCGTGCCGGCGGGCCACAAGCTGGCCATCGTGGGCTCGTCGGGTTCCGGCAAGTCGACGCTGATCAAGCTGCTGTTCCGCGTCATGGACACCACCGGCGGCCGCATCACCCTCGATGGGCAGGACATCAGAACACTCAAGACCAGCTCATTTCGGTGAGGAAGCAAATGCATGGCTGGATGAATGTGTGCCGACCGTCGTGCGGTGTGTGTGTGTGTGTGTGTGTGCGTGTGTAGTAAGCACATAGGTGTTGTGCCGCAGGACGTTGTGCTGTTCAACGACACCATCATGTTCAACCTCAGATACGGAAGACCGACTGTAAGGAACTCAACTGCACACTATAGAGAAACAGACCCCCTCGTGCAATGCTTGTGCCAATGCGTTGCGTTGATTGCAGGCGACCGACGAGGAGGTGGTAGCTGCCGCCAAGGCAGCACACCTGCACGACACAATCTCCAACTTCCCAAAGGTAGGTCAGCTGCTGTCACTCATACATTTGGGGCTGGCTGCGTTTGTTTCCTGGTGCCTATAGTGTTTATTCGTCAATCGGCTGTGTGTCAGGGTTACGACACGGTGGTGGGCGAGAGGGGACTGAAGCTGTCGGGCGGCGAAAAGCAGAGGGTCGGCATCGCCAGGTGCATTCTCAGGTGAGTGATTAGTCGAGACACACAGAGGCAGGCAGGGGTGGGTGTCAACGCATGTGTGTGAGTGTGTGTGTGTGTCAGGAATCCGCTGATCGTCGTGTTTGACGAGGCCACATCGTCGCTGGATCTCGAGACCGAGAAGAAGATCCTCGACGCATTCAAGGTGAGACAAAGAGAGCCACGCAACGCTCCGTCGGCGGACCACAAATGCCGCCTGCCTCTCTGGTCTGGTGGTACAGACGATGGGTCAATCCCGCACGAGTGTGGCGATCGCCCACCGGCTGTCGACGATAGTGGACGCCGACCAGATCGTCTACATCGACAACGGCATCATTGCGGAGCAGGGGTCGCACGCCGAGCTACTGAGGATACCCAACGGCAAATACGCCAGCCAGTGGGCCCGACAGGTACATATCAGCTCTGATCGGTCGGTCGGCCAGCGACAAATGCATCCGCCCATCCCTCTGGTGTGTATGTGCAGGTCCAGGCGACGACTCATGGGCATGTGCGGAAAGAGGCTGCTGGCGATGAGGAGTTCTTGCGTGGTGAGGACGAGAGGGAGAGGGAGGAGGAGCAGCGGGCGCCCATCTTCCAGGGGGAGGACTACCGCACGAGAAACATACCCACCGTCACATGAGACACCGGAAGGCAGGCAAGTCCATCTTGTGCTGTGTGTGAGTCGGTGTACGATAGCCATCCATCCATCTATCCATCTGTCTCGCCGTGTAGAGGCAGGCAGGCCGTATGCCAGTGTTTTTTCGACGCCATGTATGCAGCCATCCAGGGTGCTTGTCAACGTTGTACATACCCACTTGTGTGGAATGGACGGACGACATAGTAGCGATAGAGCAACACTATAGATACCCATTTGTCAGGCTGTCTTGACTGATGAATTGACTTTTTCGGGCGGGCCATGTGTGACCAGAGACAGGTCAGTCGCTGTCAACCGCGTATTACTCCATCCATGCCATGCGTCCACACGGGCAAATCTCGGGCAAATCTCTCTCTCTCTCTCTCTCTCTCTCTCCTTGCCTGCCTGCTGCCTGTCCACCGGCCTCTGGTGGCATGTTTCTTCATTTCTTGGTCTTGTCTGTGCGAGGCTCTGCTTTGAAGTAGTTGAGGACGGTCTTGCCCTTGTCCTTGCCCCAATCGTCGGTGTCGGGAAGAATGAAGCTCGTGAACAGGGGCCCCACCTTGGCCGACTTTAAGATGCTCGCGAGGCTTTGGTCCTTCTTGACCTTGTTGTGAAGCTTGACGGGCTGCAACCCAACATGCAAGAAAAGCAGCCACCCGGCCCCTTAATTGTTTCTTACTCATCCCCGCCGGCATGACTGACCATGTCGAACCCCCCTCGGAGGCAGTAGAAGGCGTTGTCCAGGGGCTGTTTCTTTTGATCCACACAGTATTTCCCGTAAGTAGCGAACGGCAGGCACTGGCCCTGTCCCGTGGCTTCGATTTTGAACGCTTCGGCAAGCTTTGGCAAGATCACCAACTTTCGCATGATGCAGACCTCACCCTTGCTGGAGTCGCATGCCTCGAACACCCAATGGCTAGGGTCTGCACTCAGCCAGCCGGCCCCACAATAGACCGCTGACACACACTGCAAGTTTCGTCTCAGCCAGAGCGTACCGGCGACAGTGCTGAACTCCGACGCGTACCACTTCGACGGGTACCAGTTGATCTTCATCTCGTTCTGTTTCGGGTCCTTCGGCGCAGTGACGTTCTGTATCTGCCTCACACATGAGCACACATTTGCAGTGCGACAGGCCGACCGAATGCCGTCCGTACCTCAGCCTCGAATTCGATGGAGCATGGGGGGCCCCTGGTCGTCTGTTTCATTGCAAGTCTGGCGTGTGCATGGCGGTGGGCGCTCTTGGAGCTGACACGGTGCCGGATCCGGGCACCGTGGGCAGTCACGAAGAGCGACGGGTAGTCAAACAGGACCAAGCCGATGGTGAGTACTGTCAGCAGTAGCGAGGCAGAGGACACCATTGATATTCACGGATATGCTCAGAAGAGGGATGCGGCTGAGAATGCGGGATGCCAAAGGATGATGCTGTGAGACGCGATGCGGAAAGACGCCCCCACAAAGCCCCCGTTTACATCCGGCGGGTGTTTTGCTACCGCTTTTCCCCAATTCCCTGACCAACTGGTAGCCTTCTTGTGGTCGGTGCTCGTCCGGGGGGCGAGAGGTGGAGGTCTGGAGGAGGCCGCAGGACCGGCAGGCGGCTGAGGTGGGCGATCTCATGGACACAGGTGGAAGATCCACCCACACGTGGTGCCGATCTGCCACTTTCTCCCATGTTTTCTGTGCATTATACACTACAGAGCGGAGTGGTTGTGTGTGGCGGTATAGTATGATCCATGGCAAGGACCTGCTGCCGGCCTCTCCCGACCCATCAACGGTCCCCCTCCCCTCTCGAGCATCGTCCTACTTCACTGCCGACAGCCCTCAGTCCCTTCCCGTCCCGTTCACCAGCAGCATGGGCAGCATCAACGACGGCAGGGAGGCCATGATGGGCGTCGTGGCGGGAGCCTCGTCGCTGTGGGGCCTTCCACCGCCTTATGGATGCCCGGGGGAGATGTCCACTTCCTACGGCTATGGGCCGCCGGAGCAGCCCGATGAGATCACGCCCCGCAGCGTGACCAAGAAGCCCGCCAGCTACACCCCCGGGTCGCAAGACCGTGCAGAGCCATCTGGCGTGGCGCCCCTGCATTTCGCCTGTAGCTCGATGGGCCTCCCATTCCCCACCTCCCCGTCCCCCTCCCCCTCTGCCAACCTCAGATCCGCATCCATGTCGGTGCCATCGACTCAGCCGTCATCGCACCCCACAGCCCCCCACACACCCACTGCTGACCCAGGCGTGACTTCCGACGGTCCGCCGAGGCGTTTTGCCGGCCAGCTCTTCGCCCCGACCGACCACCAGCTGACGCCGCCCACGTCCATGCCCAACTCCATGGTCACGCCATCCATTCCCATGCCGCCCGCGCACACACACCATGGCGGTGGAGATGAGGAGGTGTCCATCCCCTTAGCCGATGGGCATCAGCATCTCTTGGGTGCGGCGAGCGCGGCGCAGCTGCTGCAGACGATTGTGCAGCTGCAGGGGGGCATGATGGCTGCAGAGGGAGAGGGAGGGGCGGGGGTGGGGGTGGGGGTTAGCAACGGCGGTAGTGGTGGTGGTGGTGGTTTGCCGTCTTACCCGCAGTGTTTGGATGTGGAGACGTCTGAGCGGATCCTCAAGACATTGCAGCAGACGAACCTGCTGGTGATCGGGCAGACGATGCTCTTCCAGCAGCACATGCAGGCCGCCAGGGACATGCTGCGCGAGAACAGCAGACTCAAGGAGGAGAACGAGTACCTCTCCATGCGCATCAACACCCTGCAGTCGCGGATGAGGCAGTACGAGAGGGCGCACCTGGGCTCCATCGACTGACTGATCCACTCGCCCACTTAGCAGTATGGTAGCCTAGCCTTGGCTGCACGTGTGTAGGGTGGAGATGGATGGGCCAGGGGAATGGGTGCGGGTGTGTGGGCGTGCACGGCGTTTCGCCCGCTTTGTTGTTGCTTGTGCAGTGGATAGCTAGATAATTGAGAGGGCACCTACTAGTTGCCGTCTCCCCTTTCAGCTAGCCAGCCAGTGCAGAGGACATTCCGTAGCTGCCTGCCTGACTGCCTGCCTGCCTGCCTCTCTGCGTTTGGGGGGAATGGATGGATGGGGTGCCCGAATATTGATGTCTCACTCACTACTTGTGGGTCAATTGCTCGATGTGCGTGTGTGGAAGGAACGCCAGAATGTTCTTACTTTGACTCGAATGCTGCCGTTTTCGGCTTGGGTGTGTGCGTGGTTTTTCGTTGCCCCGTAAGTGGCGATCATCGCACGACCAATGGGCATGTATCTATCGCCTTTTTGCGTTAGTCGATTGCATATGGATGGATGGATGGATGCTTGTGTGGGTGTGTGTGCAAAGGGCAGGGGCGCTCGCTGGTGTACAGGGCAGGCGGATCGGTAGAGAGACCCCCTCTCTCGTGTGGATAGCATAGTCGATGACGGACGGCTGCATGTGATCAACACAGAAAGAGACACTGCTGTTGTTGTACATGTACAATGATCGTGTAGCAGTGTCGGCCGCCCATCCATCCATCCATCCATGCATCTGTCACATCAATCTATACACCCGACACACTATGCTAGACTAGACGCCCCTCCCCTCCACCGACATTCACTTCCTGTGTGTCCTCGTGAGCTTCATGACGAGCGTCATGACGATGGCCAGCAGCAGCAGCACTATGATGACATGCAGCAGCACCTTGTTGGTCAACGCGCGACGACCCTACACAGACACGCGGACAAACAGAGATAGACAACAACTCTTTGTGATGTCCGTCCGTGAGCGTCAATTGTCCTTACCATGGTGCGCAGAATGCGCTTGGCCCGCTGCAGGTTGCTGTCTGTGTCGCGGACCTGCAACACAACACAGACAAGACACAAACACAGCCACGGGTATGGCCATGGCCTGTGCCTGTGCGTGTGTGTATCGGTTGATTGCCATGCCCACGTGTTGGTGAGTCCTCATGAGGGTTTCCCTCTGCCCCTTCAAGTCTGACATGACGTTGATCCCCACACTCTCAGTGTCCAGCGCTACCCTGAGCACACACACACACCACGCACAAGACACGCACATGCACACCATAATGAGCCGTGGACAATACCCACATGACCTAGGTGCAGACATACCGTTTGCTCTGTTCCAGCCGTCTGGTGCCATCCTGCAGCATGTCCTGCCCCTCCAGCAGCCGAGCGCGGTGCGACGACGGCGCACTTGACGACTCCTACACACACCACACACACAGAGGGAGGCATCCATGTGTGCCAACTGCAGCCATGGGTGCCAGTGAGCCGGGTCGCCCACCTGCATCTGTTGTCCCCCCGACATCGGCACACTGGCGCTCGTGTCGTCGGCGGCGTATCTGCCCCTGCCGATAAGCTGATCACGCTGGTGCCTGGCACGGACGCGGTCGAAGTCACGACTCAAGTCGGTCAGGTCGGCGCGAATCCGCTTGACCTGATCCATGGATGAAAGTTGCATGGGCTGAGTGGGTTGCGTGTGTGCAATGCGGAGTACCTACCTTGTTTGTGAGTGAAGTGTTGGCGGGCATGCTCTGCACCTCCAGCTCCATGTGCTTCAACTGCAGCGTTTGTATACACACACACACATAGACAGGCGAAATGAAAGCAACTCAGATGAACACAGGCAGGCAGGCAGGCAGGC